ATTCTTCATTGGGCCACCACCATTAATTCCAATAGCATCCATATTTGATCCAATGTAATATATAAGATAGAGCACTCATGGTAATTGTATCGAGTAATTTGATCAGTACGGTTAATCCTTTATATGATAAAGTAAAAATTGCGTCTTCACTGTAAAGAATGCATGTTTTTTGTTTTTTGTTACTTTTAGATTATTGTCAATGAAACTAACCATTAGTATACTGTGTGTCTTTTTTCTTATAATAACAATTGGTGCTCCGCCTGTCGTCGAAAATGTGAATAAAGATAAACAACATGCTGATTCAAAAGAAGATAATTCCGATGAAGCGGTTTGAATTTTTTATTTGTTCTAATGAATTGTATTTCTTTGATTTTGTTTATTTAGCTAAATGAACTTGAATATAGTCGTTATTTAAAAGAAGTTGTAGAAATTCTTGAAAATGATCCAGACTTTAAAAAGAAACTTGAAAATGCATCTATCGATGATATCAAAGTATTTGAAAAAAATGTCTGTTTTTTTTCTTGTTTCTTATTGTTTTATATTTTTTCAAGTCAGGAAATATTGCTCAATATCTTGGTCTTGTTCAACATCATGTACGTACCAAACTTGATGAAGCTAAACAACGTGAAATGGCTCGATTAAGAGAATTAGTTGCACAAAGACTACGTAATTTAAGTGGTAAGAATTTCCTCTAGATGTTATAAAAAAATTCAAAGAGAATTCTACAGGAAAGCACAGGTTTTCCATAGAACTATATCCTGTATGCTCTAGAGATTGACTTGGACACTTTCGTTTTTGACCATCATATCCACATTTATAGAGTTCTGAAAGAGTTCAAAATTATTTCTGAGAAATAGTCTTGGAGATCGTAATTCACCAAGATGCAAGCTCATCGAAAACTAGAACTTCTTCGTAAAACTCTCTCTAAGTTTCTTTCCCCTCGAACATATGCCTACTTATTTTATGTGCTCCATCTGTAATAAAAATTTCGGTCTAATTGATAGCACCCTTGTCGACAACTAGAATTAGCCAAGAAAAAAGATGAGAAGAGAAAAATATTCTTAAATAATTTGTATATTTGTATAGAAAAAGAACGAATGGAACTTGCTCGAGGTGATCCAAATGGAAAACATGTGCAACAGTTTCTTCCTCAACATATTGATCATCAAAATTCTGAAAGTTTTGGTCAAGCTGATCTTGAACGTTTAATTCGACATGCATCAAAAGATTTAGATGAAATAGATCGAAAACGTGAACAACAATTTAAAGAATATGAAATGACAAAAGAATATGAACGTCGTGCTAAACTTGCTGTAAATATTTAATTATTTGTTCTTGTTTCTTTTTTTTAACAATCAATTTATATTGTTTATTATCTTTAAAGCAAATGAACGAAGAAGAACGTAAGAAACAAGAAGCTTTACATCGAGAAGCAATAGAAAAAAAGAAACATCATCCAGAAGTAAATCATCCAGGTAGTGTAGATCAAATGCAAGAAGTTTGGGAAGATGTTGATCATCTTGAAGCTGAACAATTTAATCCAAAATCATTTTTTCAATTACATGATATTAATAGTGATGGATTTCTAGATGAAGGTGAAATTGAAGCAATAATGCAGAAAGAAGTTTGATAAAAATTTTATTCTTTAGTTTTAAATATGTTTATTTTTATTTTTTTTTTGTCTATTTAAGGCCGAAAAAGTTCATGATAATACACCTGAAGCTGATCCTGTTGAAAAACAAGAAGAAATGGATCGTATGCGTGAACATGTTATGAAAGAATTTGATAAAAATAATGATCGTATGCTTTCATATGAAGAATTTCAACATGGAATCAATGCCGACGAAGCTAAAAATAATCAAGGATGGCAGGTAAGATATGAACATTGTTAATGATAAATGAACTTCAAAGAAGACGAATATATGATAAGTAAAGTCATTCTAATTCATAATTTTAAATACTTGAATCATATCGATGCAGAGAGAGAAACGCTTACTGCAAATAAATCCTATAGGCTTTAAAATTTTTTTGTACAAATGACGAATTTATTTGAGAATTCGTTAAATCGACAATTGAAGATTCTATTGGATTTACTCTTAGTGAAAATCTTGCAATCGATTAAAAAAATCGAATGACCATTAGAAGTTATGATTGTGTATTTTTATTTCGTCTTTGTTATACAAAGAATAGCTCATAAATAATTAAACAATATTAAAAATATTTAACATCTCCAGTGTGCTTCAATCAATTGAGATATTTTTTTTCTTCATGTTAGAGAACTTCTCAGAGTTTTTATTCTCAAGGATATTATCAAATAGATATATTTAGAACTAGTACTATTGACCTAAATCTAGAAGTCAGGGCTCCACGTAGAATGGGACAATCCCATCCCATGAGACAAACAACTATTTCTATAAATATTTTTTATGGGAAAAGCTATTACACGTGTCATATCAATGACGTTCTTGGTTATTTCAGTATAGTAAGCGAGAGTGTGGGGGTGTGAATGTAAGAGAAGTGCAAAGGAAAATACACATTGTAGACAATATGATGACCTAATACTACCGTCCCATATCATAACAAACAGTTCTTATCGAAATTTCATTATTATGAACTTAATTGACGAATAATCATATATCATAGAAAACTGGAGTATTGTTTTTACTATCGTTACATATAAAGTGAAAGGTTCTTCAGCTTTCTATAGAAAGATAAAGTACTTTCGCTATTACTTTTGAATTGCTTTCCGAGGTATAATATTTTGTATAATTAAGTAAACGAATAAATTTCATTTTTTTGAAAAGACATTTGATGAAAACAATGTCTCATGCACCTGTGTGTTCTGTCCTATCCTATCTCACGTGAAGCCTTAATAAACAAAAGCTACGAATAATTTACATAATGAACTATTGATCAAATCGTAAACTTTGTTCCTTCTTAAGTATTAGAACTCAGAGTGAAAAAAGTTATTATACATCATAACTCTTGAATTCAAATGATGAGACTTGGCTGATTTTATTGACCTAAATTTCTAATTTAGTGTATGTACTCAAAACTTCAGATGTTTAGTTTTCAAAATAGCTGAGATCCTAAGGAAATAATTTCGATCAGTAATGTATGTCTTTATTTAAATCAATATAAGGTTCATTTATGATTTTCGTCTGAAGCAAAATCTTGAGGAACCTCGTAGAAAAAAAACAGCTTGGTTAATTCAAGTAGGCTGAAACTATTGAGTGGCTTTGTCATCTAATTATTCATGCATCACTTTATATATGCAAATAATATTTCTAATCACTATTTTTCTATTTTTTTAGTCTATTGAAGACAGTACTGTCTATTCTGATCAAGAATTTCAAAGTTTCTCCGAACAGTTGGGTCATGCATCTACAGTAATTTATTGATTAATTGTTTTCGTAACAGATTTTATTTCCTATTATATTCTAGCCTCATGCTTCTCAACCACATAATCCTGCTGCTGGCAATCAAGTACCATCACCACAAGAACAAGGACATATTCCACGAGCTCCACCATCAGTGAACAGTCACTAGAAACAATTTATTTATCGATCTTCAAAATTTTTTCAATTGATAGATCTATTTTTACTCCTCGTTTTTTTTATTATTCTTTGTGTTTTGTATTCTGCATTCATCGTTATCTTCTATTAAAGCAATAAAACATAATATCATACAACTATAGAAGAACGGCATCCCCTTTGTATAACATATACAGAACGGAAAAAAAATTCTATTTG